CAGCGAAGCGACCGCCAGCTCCGGAAATTAGTATGCCAGTGCAAAATAAGCTTTAGGTGAGGAAGTTGGTTGTGGTAGACCTAATTTGGTTTGTATGGGTAAACCAGGTCGGCGAAGAAAAGTGTTTAATTTTTTTAAACAAGGCAATTTACGGATTGAAGCAGTCAGAAAGAGATTGGAACTCCAAGTTGGAGTTCATCGCTCAATTCATGTGGTCACATCCAAATTTGGCAAAAAAAAATTTTGCTTAACTGCCCACAGGGTAAATCAACTGATAATAACTTATGGGAGCATTTGAAACGAAATATCAATAATCTTGGCCCGCCTGTTAATGAATGCTTCTTTGGTCATGCGAAACTTTTTCATAAATTTGCAAGAGAGCTTTGTATATGAGAGTTGATATATTTTAATTTTACTTACGATGTTCGTGAAAAATCTAATAGATTACTTTGAACTCTTAACCGCCTCCTGACAATTCATTCATCGACATAACTTTCATCGGAAAATAAAAAAATAAGTGAAACACAGCCCATGATTGCTTCTATTTGACAAAATATTAAACATTTGCGAATAGCTGACTAAAAATTGTTAGAGAATAATGTAAAATCTTTTACGTTTTCAAATAATTACAATCCGTTTGGTTTCAAATGGCATCTTCTCAATAATTATACACGATGTACGTATCACGGAATTTTCTTTGGTACGACTGGTACGACCCCAGATCGAGCGTGAAGGTGAGTTGGATAAAATAACTATTGGGTAATCACAATACATCAAAGAAATAATAGAGCAGCAGCGTGCTGAGTAATGTAGACCAGCATCCACGCATTTGGATGGAGGACTCAAAGTGGGCGTGTAGCGAATAGAACTATACGAAGGTAGATCAGACGTCGTATCAATCAACGATTGAGGCGCTGATGTAGTTAGCGGTGTCGACGAGGCCAGACATTTTTCATTCGGTGACAAAGTTGGCGCGAAGCAATAACGATACGCATAGTGAACATTTAGCGGGTGTCAACAAATTATTGAGGTTATTGGCATCAACGAGAGTTTTGAAATTGCAATAAAGTGCGTATGGTCAAGCTCCTCAAGGTTACGCGGATGCAGACTGGGCGGTGATAGGATCGGTCGTACGGGTACGTGTTCGTTTTAGGCTAGTGGTGCGGTTTCCTGGAAGTCAGAAAAACAACATTGTGTTGCAGTACGGAGTCGGAATATCTAGCGATGTCGTCCGCAACAAAGGAGGCATTGCACTTAAGAAGAATTATCACCGAGATCGAATGCAATGATGGTAGAAATTCAGACATTATGCAGTAACACCGTGTTTTATTTATTCAGCTAAGATATTCCCCGAATTTCATCAAAAGTTGCTGAATTTTCTTTTCTGGATTAGGTAAACTAAGAACGACGTTCAATTAAAATATAATGTGTTTGTTATGTAGTATAATTTCTAATTTGTTAAAACCCAATAAGTAGCAGAGCAACTAATCTAAAAAAATTGATTGGTTATCTTCTAACCATATAATTGAAAAGTAATAAAGAAGAATACGTGTAATTAACCCAAAATGGGCTAGTACTTTATCTATTACGAGACACTTATGACCAGAGTATGTGATGGGGGTATAGTCAAGCTCCTGGAAACCTGAGCAACCCTTGTGCGAGATGCGGTAACCACATCGTGTAGAGACTTAGGTCATGGCTAATGAGAGAGGAAGCTTCAGTGGAGCCACTCCAACTTATTCGGCTTAATGGTCTGCTGAAGTCTAATTACAGCGTCTGTTCACCAGAGGTGCGGATGCGAGCGGGCGTCGGTCTTGAAGCAAGCGGTTTGCTTTATTTTATACTTTAATTTAATTTACTCGCCTAGCGCTTTGTGCGCTGTGTTTGCGATCCGCCACATAGAAACCAGGTCCAAAGAAAAATTTTGCAACGCCTTGGATGAGATACCTTTCTGTTGCCGACCCCCTTATTTGGGAGGGTCGAAAAACACAAAACCAGACCGATCATGTTGTGATAGTCGAAAGACAAGTCTCTAGTGTTCTTGAAGTGCGTACACTCCGAGAACCCAACATCGACTCGGACCATTGTCTTGATACAGCGAAGATACGCATGCGTCTCTTTGTATGCCGCCAACAAACACAAGGAAAGTACGACGTCGAAAATCTGGAATCACAACAGACTGCCGAACGATTTTCTACTTGACTTTCACTTCTACTCTCGGAGAGCACCCATCAACAGCTTGGTATACGCGACCTGTGGGACGACATTTCAAGGTCGCGAAAACAGCAGGTACGATGGGAACTACCGTGTGACAGTAGAAAGAAAACAGACTGCATTTCTCGCAATCTTGCGATCGATCACAACACGTGCGGGATGGTATAGATACCGAGAGACGAAGAGGCAGAGATGCGCGAGTATGAAAAGCTTGAGAAGCTGGCCGACAAAAGTAATACTCGAAAATTTAATGAGAAGATACGACGGCTTACAGAAGGTTTAAGACCGGAGAAGACTCCTATAGGCAACAAAGAGGTGATCTAGCCACCGATGCCCAGAGTATATTGAATTTATGGAGGGAACACTTCTCCAACCTGCTGAATAATAGTGAAAATGGAGAATCCGGAGATGGTGAACCCGAAACCCCGATCAAAAACTATTGAAAAGTCGTTTCATTACCTGAACATGAAGAAGTTCGAAAACCAATCGTGTTCTGTCCAATCCATAATCAAGAGGCCCCACAGTCTGCGCAAATTACAGTGGGATAAGCCGCCCTAATATAACCTATAAGCTCCAGTCAAACGTATTAAGTGAAATACCGTTAACAAACTGATTGGAGCTTATCAGTGTGTGGAAGATCGACACCCACCACCTCTTCGTCGCTTTAAAAACCGCCGTCGACAGCAAGAGTAGGAGCTGCCTTTACGCCGCTATGTCCGAATTCGGTATTCCCGAAAAACTTATACAGCTGTATAAACTGACTATAAGGACCTCACCGAGCGGTTCATTAGCAAACGACGTTTCAGACAGGGTGATTCCATATTGTACAATTTTTTGCAAACTTATTTCTTGCGTAAATATTACGAGCCTGGATAAGGAAGCTAAAGATATGGGTCTGGAAGTGAACGAGGGCAAGACGAAATATCTCCTGTCATCATACAAACAGTCATCGCATTCGCGATGCGGCTTCCACGTTACTGTTGACAGTCATAACTTTTAAGTCGTAAATAATTTTGTCTATCTATGTGTCAACATCAACATCAATAATAACGTCAGCCTTGAAATCCAACGCAGAATCAATCTTGCCAACAGGTGCTACTTCGGACTGAGTAGGCAATTAAAAAGTAAAGTCCTCTCCCGACGAACGAAAACTAAACTCTACAAATCCCTCCTCATTCCCGTCCTGCTATATAGTGCGGAGGCATAGACGATGACAACATCTGATGAGTCAGCGTTAGGAGTTTTCTAGAGAAAGTTTTTGCTTAAGATTTATGTTCCTGTGCGCATTGGCAACGGCGAGTACCGTAGACGATGGAACAATGAGCTGTACGCGTTACACGGCGACATGGCTTTAGTTCAGCGAATCAAGAAGCAGCGTCTACGCTGGCTAGCTCGTGTGATCCGTATGGATACGAATACTTCAGCTTTGAAAGTTTTCCATGCAGTAACCGGTGGTGGAAGCAGAAGGAGGAATTATAATGAATAAGCAAACATAAAACTTTTGAGAATATTGAAATTGCAAGTAGAAGTGCAGGCCAGCATTTGTACACATAAGTATTGTGATTATTCAGTCACAAAATTTATAGAAAAAAGTCGTCAGTTAGATTGTACTAGACAAATCACTGTGGGGCGCGGCGTGGGCGTAAATCATCGATACGGAACGCTGGAACTACGCTACCTCACATTATTGATATAGTATATACCACAAGTACCTACTCATCCTTTAGCCATCAGGAGTGTAATTTCTCATAACAGGCATTGCTTGGTTGGTGATGGCTTCTACGTGACGGGTTCCAAAGCCAGCGCACAAGCCCACTAAAATGAAAAAAAAACTGAAGATAAGTTTTCAGCAATTTTACTATACTGTGCAACACCATCGATAACAAAATTGGCGAAAATCGAATTCAAATCATAATAAGGCCTACATTTTAATGCAAATATTTTTTTAATTATTTTCTTGTACCTCCAAACACCAAGCTCCACTTTGAACTACAAAATAATTAGTGGTGCGATTTCCCCATGCTAAAGATTATAAACATAGTTAAAAAGAAGTATTGAGAGGGAATTCGATCCCAACGAAAGGGGGGGGGATCGGGGACTTTTCCCCCCGGGCCCGGAGATTGCAAGGGGGCCCGGTGTTTTCATTGTCGTATATAGAATAATTTGCTTCCAGAATATCTATGACGTAACTGACTACAGATTTTCATGGATTGCGATACTAATTCTACGCGTCTGAAGAAATCAGTAATTTCGTTACTTTACATATGATGTATGTGACGCATGTTCTTATCTAACAGTCATTGCAGTAAGATTTAGTTTTGTATGAGAAAGATCAATTTTTCAATTTCTCAGTTGCTAGCGCCGAGCGATCATTTAGCGTACTTTCAAGAATAAAGAACTATCAGTCTCTCTGGTTCAAGCCAATCTCGAGTCTCAGGACTGGCAACGTTATGTTTGGAATCTCAATTAGCTAGAAAACTTGGCTTCGGTATTATCATTGAGGAATTTGCATCAGCTAAAGCAAGGAAGGCATATTTTTGTGGGTTGCTACCTATTAAAATACTATTGTGATGTAAACTAAGGTAGATAAATTGTTTAAACAAAAATTGTTCCAGATTACTCATTCATTTTCATTTTGATTCAAGTCCTATTCCATCTTAATCCCCAACTCGTTGATTTGCAGTGTAAGTACAAATAAACATATTTGTTAGATCATGAAATTAAGGTGTTGGGGGCCCGCATTTGAATTATCCCCGGGCCCCGATTTTCCCTCGGCGGCCATGTATGTATGTAAGTATATATATGTACATAAGTGTTGGAAGTGCAGAGGTAAAATAGAAACGGCGTCTTAGGTGTCTAAGTTCATCACAAAAAAAAGAGACTACATTTTTTATTTAAAAATTTGTGCACAAAATATATATATACTAAGTGATGGCAAGATCTAGGGATAGTACCACGCACAAAGCACAACTAAAATTTAAGCTATCACCATTCACCTGCGCCAATATGTTGATTTCTTCCTTTTGCGTTTTCTGCAACAACAAATATAGGAAGGGTTTATACTTATTTATTTTCTTTTTTGAGGGTATGTGATTGCTTTTTGAGTTACTTTAGTATGAATTATAATTTATAGCCCAAATATAATTGAAAATATTCAAAATGTTGCGATCTTTTTGCGCCAAGAATAATGATTTCAAAAAAAATTGTTAATTATACTTTTCCAAGTTTTTCATAGCATTCATAAACACTGCCACCTAAAACTGTATAACTGTCACCCCTTTAGCAAAAAAATAAAATATCAATGTAGGTTTTCAATGTTTTTTCTTCTCTCAATATCATTGTTTGAAATACCAAGCACATGTGGCAACTTTTACCAAAAAATCGCCTTGGGCAAACTTTAAAAGGCAATAATTATTAGGGATGATGCATTGTGTACATTGAAAATAACAAGGTTTTTCAACAATGGTAATTAAGTATGCATGTGCTAGTGGAGGTGATATACAATAGTCGATTCTTTTGAAATTTAACAATATTATTATGTATTATAAAACAGTCAGCCGCGTTTTCAACATATATGATTGTCTGTTTACCATAAACTAAAAAACTACATGAATTTTTTATTTATTTGCGGTTTTGTCAATAAATGGGATTATTATTAAGGATTATTTAGGAAAGGGAATCAGAGCATTCGTCGTATTTATAGTTTACTTTGTCGGTAAGGTGCATAAAAGCTTGTAGCTTCAACTAATAGGACTTAATCTTTTTCAATAAATATCATATTACGTGAATGAAGATCAATCAAAATATACGCACAATACCTTTGAAACGAATAAATAAGTCTCTTCTATCTGCTTGCTATAAGATCAGACAATGTAGCTAAATATGTAAATCAATAAAAGGTAGCATATTTATTTATTATATACGTCTACTCCAGTCATGGTCCGACAAAAATCCAAAACTAAATTATTATTCTAATTGACAGAGAATGTAAAGCCCTTCGAATGTACTTCTATCAATTAAAAGCTACAGCCTTCATTTGTTATGAAAACATAATTATTAAACAAAACAGATTTTTGGTTCGAAGCTAGAACTGTCAATTGCTATCTCACATGAACACATATTACATTTGGCTGGCTAGTTCATGTTTGGTTGATTAAAGTAGTTTTCTAAGTGCGATTAGTAAGTAGGCAAATGAAATAGCTATTTAGTTAAAAACGCGTAAGCGCAAAATGGCAACAACCCAAAAACAAAACAGGTATCAAATATAGTTTGCTTCTAAAACCTTACCATTTTCTGCTGGGTATGTATATTTTTATAAACAAATTTATGATTTGTATGTACATATTGTATTTTGATTCGGGGTTGAGCCGGTTCAATTACAAACTTGTGAGTTTATGTTTCCAATGTATGTATGACGATCAGCATACTCTAATATTGTCATTTGATTACAAAAAAATAATAGAATAGCTACGACAACACGAAAAAAGGGTGATATCATCAAGCAAACGATTGGTGTACGATAAACACCATGTAATTTAGACAAATGTATGTTAATGTTATATATTTATATATTTTGTCAACTCGATTACCGCTTGTTGGTGATGACAGGCAGTGGTGACAGCGAGTACATTGGGAGGCAATCTTGAAACTTCAAAGTTCCCTTAGGTTGCTAGTAAAATAAATAAACATACACAAGAGCAATTGAATAAACCGTAAGTATTATGTACATACATACATATGTACGTGTGTAGTCAATAAATATGTGTGTATGAAGGTGATATTTAATGCTAACCTTTTTATCTAAAATTTTTAAATACCTCTAATCGAAAGGGTGGTTCCGTACACCTCAAATTTCTTTTTTTATAGCACATTTACAATACAATTTGCAAGTCGAGGGTCAGCACTTACATACGTCCACACGAACAAAAACAACAAAAGACCAATGTTGTTAAGGGCACAGTATACAAGTAGTGACCAAATTCATGAAATTAAGTCAAACTTCAATATTGAAAAAAAAAATTTTATAAATACATTATGTACGTTGATGCTTAGAGCTTTTACAATATAGAAAAAATTCATTGTTGATGTGAGTTGTATCAGATATTTCAGAATATTTTACACAAAACTTTAAATTCTTTTACATATTTTATCATGTATGTACTATATTATATATACGTATTAACCTAAACTAAATTCAATACAAGAATGAATTGTTTTAAGCGCACCGTTTGAATAAGATTAAAAATACGAGTTTTATGCTTTTCTCCTAATTTCAGAGAAATTATGTTTCTTCTCATTTTTCAGTATTTGCTGGTGTCAATACAAGATTTATGTAAAATAATCCACTTCTGCTTCCGCAAAAAAAAACGGGTTTCGTAAGAGACTAAATGACTATCTAATGTGCTGCAACTTATTAGGAATCGTGACACTGTTCGGAGTGACGAATTCCCTGTATACGTTAAAGCTTATCATTGAATACGAATTCCAATCGATTGTTAACAACTACACGTTCATTTAAGTGCACTGAGTATATAGAATTGTTATACTTGTAATAACGATAATTAAACTGACATTTCTATCGACAGTGCATCGTGCGTATTTAACAAATAAGCTTAAAGTTTTAACACTAGACAGTTTGGCGGTTTATTTGTTGGTTGGCACACTGCATTATACAGAGTTTTCTATTAAGAGTTAAGATTTAATGTTTACATTAATTACATTAAATATTTTTATTAAGATTTATACCGAATCAATTCAAATTTGGCAATACGATTATTTACGATGTCTCTTTATTCATATTAATAATTGAATTGTAGCTATAATATTACATTATAATTGCATATCTTACATATTGGTGTACGGTCTCTTAAGCTTTGAATTTAATAACTTAGGTAAGCCGAATTACTTGAAATTCCTAAAAGTAAATTATGTTTATAAATTCCATAAGCTTACTTAAAATGAAACGTCTGCGTTTTATTCAGATTGCTTGGTTAAATTTTTAATTTTTTCATTATAAGATTAAAAATATTTGCTATTTTAACAGATTTCATTTGATTTTTTCTTTTTAATTTTTACGATTAGAGACATAAAAACTATTAGTATTACTATTGTCCAAAAAACTACACATTCATATTTAGGCCAACACTCGGATTTTCTTTGATTCAAATTCTTTGGTGTAAGCTCGAGTGTGGAGCAAAATTGCCAACTGAATGCAAACAAATTTTTGGCACAGTACGATAATTCAACTTTAACACCTTTTTTTGACCACTTATGAAAATATTAATAATTCCGAATAAAAATGTTAGACAGAGGGACATATTTTCAACTACTTTCATTTCAATTCATTTTATTATCTTTTATGTTAAGTTAATACTAATTATAAATGAAAAAAGTACTATTTTTCAGCATGCAAAAGTATTGTCAATAACAAACTTACAATCTAAAGTGGCTGATATTGCCAACATATATAACATACATGTTTACCAACATAATATATAAAAGCGAAAATCGAAAAAACGTAACTGATGAAATTTAAAATAACCTCGTACATATTAAATAGTGTCATATTTATAAGCAAGTGCATTTTAATAGTGTCAAAACTGCAAAAACACTTAAAAGATATATAATACCTGTTCCTCTATAGATATTGCTATTATTCTTTTGCCTTTAGTTGGCTATGAAGAAATTCAATTGCTATGAAGAGGAAGGATCTTCACTCTACGAAGCAAACGTATGCCCATACTCAAATGTTTATTATTTTCTTTTTTTTTATACTGCTTATGTAATTTTGTGATTTACTTTACTTTACTTTAACCTTAGAGAAATATCAATATTTTGTCCATGCCGGTATAAACTTCCAAATTTTCGTTGTTTAGTTAGCGATTTGTCGAGTAGTTTACGACAACGGCTGTATGCGATGGCGAATATCGTTAAAATAATTACACCGAATATGCGCCCTTATCCTCAATGTCGTAATGAAAACGAAAAAAAAAACGCAGAAACACTGTGCATGGAGGATTTTCCGTTTCGGGAAATTTATTTGTGAAATTATGGTTTTTCAGTTTATTGTTATTTTTTTGATATTCAAATCATATATATGTATATGAGCTGTGAAGTTTGCTTTTATGAATAACGCCAGTTTAAAAAAAGGAATACGAGTTGTCCTTTTCAAGCTCAAGCGTTGAAGAAGAGAACAAAAATTTAAATATTCATCGTAGGCTGTGGGGATCATTGTCGAATTTGTGCTATGCTAAGTGAAGGCAATTGTCACATCATATACTGCTGGAACATATACTGACGGAACATTTACTAAAAAAGATTTTATACTTCAGGAGCTCTCTCTAAATCTCTTGGCGTATTGTTGCTGCTAATGTCGCGCTGTAGTTCATCCTCATTCACACCAAATATAGCACCAGCTCTATTAAGCAGCTCTTCCCCTCAAATTTGCAACAGATTCTTCAAGAGAAGTCTACACCATCTGCTGGTACACCCCTCCGCCGGCTGCTCTTGACATTTTTTTGTAGTTCACCATGTTTTTCTTCACTTTAAACTTAAAAATGATAAAAAAAGAAGCATTGGATTTCCTTCATGTTTTAAATATACCTCATACAAATAAGTATTAATATATAAAATATAATATGTGCATCACTACTTAAATTATACCTGTGTTAAAATAAAAAGTATCAAAATGTTGTTTATTCAGTTATATTATTTATTGTAACATTAACGAAATTGTTTCAGTTGTCCTTTAAATTCAATAAAAAGTAAATATAAAAGATTACTTCGTAGTAAATCAACGCTCCTGCACATTTTTCAAATAACGTTACAGTAAACGGTGCACGATCCGTAGTTAATGCTTGTTAAACAATAGCAACGAATAAACAGGATAAATGAATTGTTCTAAATGAGTAAAAAAATGCAAAAAAAATACTTATGCACATATGAGTATACTTATTTGTATGTGGTATCTTGTACCATCCATCCTCCATCGCCATCACGGACAGGTGGTCTTACCATATTAATTTTTGTGGCAATAACTACCCACTCTTCTTTTAAATTGTGTAGGATAACGCTTTTTGGAAACCACTAAGTGGTTGGGGCTTATTTTTCACTTATGAAACAAGAAACTCAAATTGAGCGCTAGTCGTTAACCGCTTTAATTTCTGCATCGTCTGTTACTTTGAAAGATCGTCAGTAAAATAACTGGCGATAAAAGATGATAAGAAACGATAGAAAACGATGGTGTTGACGCTGAGCGTCAGAGCATCGTCTAAAGATACTGTTGACGATGGCGTTGAATGACATACAAATTTTACGGTATGCTTTCACAATATGACGAGTTTGACAGATACGCAAGAAAAAGTCCTCTGCAGGGAAAAAGTAATGATAAGTTTAATACTAGTATTCAACCAAGTGGTTAGAAGTCTTCAGCCGGCAAACTCATTTTTAATTAATTCATTTCTTTGGTGGGCAGCTATACAACGATTTCAGCGAGTTTTCCATCCTTCGTAACATTTCCGGAACGCTTCGATACAAAATGGGTTCCTTTGAAAAAAGCCGGTTTGATAAAAAAAAACGTCGATTATAAAATATAAAACGCTAGCTGGATACATAAAATGGCCATCAAAAAGAACTCACTATCGTCCATAAAAACTGCAAAGCTAGATGAGATTTTTTTATTCTATATCTGGGACTAATGCCATTGACCAGCTATTTCTCATGTCAACAATGCGGCACCAAACAAACTGATTTTTTTTTTTTAAATCATACATAATTAGTAGTAGTTCGAATAAATGATTTTAACATCTGTACAATTTATTTATTTGAATACAGTAATCCGCCACAATATCTGACAGTTTTCGAAAATGAAAAAAGTTAACGGTTTGCGCCGAGGGGCTGTAAAATTTTACTCGATTCGAATTTCGGCAACTGTTTTTGATAGAAATATTCTCAATTATTGTCAGAACTGCCAGTTCTTTTAAATTTTGAAAAAACATTGATTTTGGCCGAAGGACAGACAAAAAAAAGTATCCCACTCCCCTAAGTAAAACTTGATTTTTTTAGTTTTTTGAGCTTAATTGATGTCTTTGATACAGAAAAGAGCAATATGAAAGGTGTGGTTATTACGATGGCAATCAAAATAATTTTTTCAAAGAAGTGAAGCGTTTTTATAAATACACTTGATCCACTAGCAAAACACGCCATGACATGATAATTCAAATACAATGATTTTTATTTCTTTTTACGAAATTTTTTGCAGTTCATAACTCATCTAAAAAGGACTACACTTATTATTTAAACTCGAGCGGTAAAGTCATCGGATGCGTGTTCCTCTTCCTGATGTATATCGCCGTTACAATTGATTCTACTGTTGCTATTATGCTAAAAAAAAGGGCGATGATTATGTTTTTATTTATTTAATTTTAGCAGCAAAAGTTTTTGATAGTATACTTTGTTGTATTACAACACATGTAGGCAGCTGATTTCCAACATTTCTACTCTCTTCCTATTTTCCTTTCGATCCGAGCGTAACTCAGAATATAAATTTACACCGAAATTAAGGCTGATTAATGTTGCAAAAATGTTAATAATAAGAAGGTAATATCGGCCGCAGTAGCCGAGTATTAAGCATTGCGTACTGCCATTCGGAAGGCTCGGGTTCAAATCCCGGTGCGGTTGCCCCTCGGCAGAGAATGTCAACCTCTGACATGAAATAAAGCTCCTCATAAAAAACCATCACCCGTTCGGCGGTATATATATATTCTAGCAGACCAAGGAAACTTCGCCTCGACTAAATTACACGCTTTTTTATTACACTATATATAATTGTCGCCTTGTAACTGCTGAAGCAAGTTTTCGGGCGAGATTATCCTACAATTTGTGGTTCCTGCGTCTTGATATTGTTCCAACAAATGGAGGGAGCTACAGTTTATACTAAGCCGCCTCCGAACGGCTGATGGCTTTTTTTTGTGAGGAGCTTTATTTCATGTCCGAAATACACTCGGAGAGGTGGACATGCCCTGTTGAGGGGCGACTGCAATTAGAAAATTTAACTTAATTTTTGATTTAAAATTTTATTACATTAATTCAAATCTGAATGTGAATTATTTAAATGAACTCGAACAGCAAAAAGCAATATGGTAGTAGGCAAGCAAAAAGAAACATACAAGTTGAACTAAGTGGTTTCAGATATAAAAAGTTCAAGCAGCCCATACATACGAACGAAATAAAAAAATCTGAGAGTTATTTTTTCTCTCACTTAGATACTATATATATTTTCTGTATAATTCACTGAAATGACGATTTCCAATTTTTACGCGCGTATTCGCATAGGCGTGCCTTCCAACAAAGCTGCAGCCTAAGTCAACGACCATCTATCGGGTTATAGAATGGACCGAGCCTATCAAATTAATTAATCCAAATCATAGAAAAGAAAAAAAAAAGGTACTATTCCTGGAAACAAAGGTAATGTTCCCGCTAAACTAAGCAAAAGGTTACCCATGAATCAAATTTCAAGTAAATCTAACTATAAGTTTAAAATTTTTGAATAAATCAGTCCCAGGTCCTCTTCCCGGTGTGAAAAAGAGATGTTATGTAATTCTTAGCTCAACTGAATATGCAAATTAAATTTCAATTAAATCGATCAAGCCGTTTCGGAGGAGTATCGTGTCTAACACTGTGACATGAAAATTTCATATATTAGACTAGCTCTACCCTGCAACGCTTCGCTGTTTCACATATTTTAACTAATAATGGAACATCTTTTTATCATTACTTTATTTACGCAATACTTGTTTTTGGCTCTGCCGTTGACATTGGTTCACTTCCCAGAGACAGGAATAGCCCGACCTTTTGAATATACAAGTCCCCAGTCCACTTTTTTTAATTAGTCAGTCGCTGGGCCACTTCCCGGCGAGAAAAAGAGTCTTCCTGTTAATCTAAGCAAAAAGGTCAGACCCGGTCCACTTCCCGGAGAGAAATCATCTTCCTGTAATCCCTATTAATCTAAAGAAAAATACACCTATGCGCCAAATTTCAAGTAAATCGAACCATAAATAAGATTTTTTCAAATATTTCATTCCCAGATCCTAGTGTGTTATTCTCAGACCTAGTGAATATGCAAAGTAACGATAGGTCTAAGCGAAAATAATTTTTTGTGTTTATTGGGAGAATATATCAAATATTATAAACCAATTTACAAGGCGTATTTTATGTGTCAGACTATTAATTTATACCTATTTAAAAATACGTTAATATATTCAATTGCATGGTTGGGGTTTTTTAGAAGTTGCTTATACTCCACTCCTCTCTCAAAAATCAGTATCTTTCAATATTTGAAAAACAGGCAGTTGCTGAAAATTATTCATCATATTTCTGTAAAAAGTGATTGACGGAAATGGAATTGAGTGGCGCAAACCATTGACCTATTTCATTTTCAAAAACTGCAAGGTATGGTGGCGGATTACTCTATTCAACTAAACCATTATGCATATGTTAAAATCAGTTATTCAAACTACCACTAATTATAGAAAACACCAAAAAGAGAAAAATCGTTTGATTATAAAACTAAAACATTAAAAAAAAAAATCAACTTTTGTTGGAGCTGCATCGTGGACATGAGAAGTAACTGGTCACTGTTTCAACGCTTTGCACTTTTCGTTGACGATTGTGGTGCTCTTTTTAATGGGATTTTTTTTCTTTCCAGCTGGAGTTTGCATTTTTATGACTGACTTTTTTTTATCAAACGGTTTTTTCCCAGCTTCAGTGGTTCAATCGATTTCAAAGTATCATGTGGAGATGATGTATAAGTGGTTAGGTGCGACATGTTACCCAAGCCCGATGAACTGCTCATAGAAGAAGGCTCTGAAGTGATGACTTCTTCTTGCGTAGCAGTCAAGCTCATCATATCGTGATCGTTGTCTTCAGTGCCAAATAGATTTTTGGCACTCACTTCGGCAGCAATATATGCAATCAGTTTCTAAAAAACATTTGGTCGAAAAATCAATTCTTTTCCAATCTTGCTTTTTATGCCGACATGTCATCAGATCAAAAACGCGAAAAAATTTATTAGTGTGCCACAGAATATGTAGTTTGCTGGTAATATACACTTCTGTACACAAAAAATGCAATGACAATTGAAACACGTGCAAAAATATAATCCGCCACTATATACCTTACAAGCTATTGTTGGAAATTTGATTGTGTCACTTTCATATTGTTGAATTGAGAAAAATGTTACAAATCAAAAACAACATACAGAGCCATCTATTGAAAATTTACAATATAAAAAAATCTATGCTTGCGCTAGTTGATCGTTCCAAACGTTGTGTTGAGTCAAATGGAACCTATTTTGAATAAATAACAACTTTCAAATATAATATAATGTGTATTTTATCTTATATCCAAAAAGTTAGGTTATTTTTGGGACACACCGTGTATATTACAAATAACTCGCCCGCTGTTTACTACTAGTGTATATAATAAGTCATCTGATATAAAACATCGACCACATTTGACATGTGCACGCCACCTTCCCTTAACCCTATATTTATGTACATACATATAGATATGAGAAATGCAGAAGTTTCTAGGGACTCGAGATAACATTTGAACAATATTCTTTACTGATTAAAGATCATAATAATTGGAAACGAAAGCTACCACTTTTCATCAAGCTTTTGGAATTTTCTATACAACTAGAATATTTGCAAAAATGTATAATTAAACTTACCATTGTAACTGGTAGTCCGCCTGCACCGCCATTGGAATACGTATACGGCGATACCAGATATCCCATGTTGAAGCTTGAAGTGTGGGGCTCAATCTTACCTGCAAAATAAATTCAAAAATTTAAGTGAAGTGAAATGTGAAATTAAAAGGTATGCACATTTATAAGGTAATGCTATACGTAATTCTAATTTAGTTAAAGACTAAATAATGTGGAAAAATCAGCAAAGAGCAAGCCGAGCTGCTGTAAATATATTGTATTCTGTACCGTCTAAATGAAATTCTCAATGTATTACAGGTTCTTTATGTAGTTATTATTAAGATCGTTGTTATTAGTAAGTTTTAGTTACAAAAGATTATATAGTAAGAGCCGTCTAAAGAAAAGATTCAACGGCCGTAAAAACTAAAAAGCAATATATTTATTTTTTTTAAATGTGTAAATGAAATAAAAATATGTATGATATGGAGAATCCACATCAATTTTATTTTGTTTGAATTTGGTATGAGCAAATCTCAAAGTATCGATGTTTCTGCTTTAATGGGTGGTAGGGTGGAAAGCGAGTACCTAAAGATAAGCTATTTTCATTTATTTTGTTTTACAATTTTACAAGCATAGAATTGCATTTGGTTCAGCAGTATATAATGATGCGTAGTATGGTAGTTAGCAGCGATTTGGGATTTGGTGTTCGTTATTTATTTATTCAAACACACAACCATAGTTATTTTACAGTGACTAAACTTAAATCTAATAACTTAAAATTAAATATAATAGTAATAGCGGCGGCCTAGTCGAGTGGTTAGCATTGCGTAATACCATTCGGAAGGCCCGGGCTCTAATCCTGATACGACCAACTTCTAAGAGGTATAGAAAATGAATTCAAATAAAAAACTTGGTCAGTTTTTGTAATTACGAGAATATTTCGGAGGCGGATTAGTATAAACTGTAGGTCCCTCTATTTGTTGGAAAAACATCAAGATCCAAAGCCACAAAGCAGGAGCAGCTCGGCTAAAAATCTGGCGATGTCATTGTAGAGGACATTGAGTTTACTACAACACAGACTAACACAGCTGGCTAACAGCTTAAAACCATACAGTAACGTCGGTAACAAGAAAGTTTTTGCTAATAGCAATCGGATTTTTAATGGTGAACCATGAACCTTATCTATTGCACTACGTATAAATTTGGCTATACCAAGACAAAGTTCTATTGAAGATTACTCCTAGATTTCTGGCAGTTTCCAAGAACTTAACAGATTTATTAACTTCACTGCAGCCTTCGAGTTTGAAAGGCTTCTTGTATATAACAATTCACTGCAATTTACTAGGATTCAGGTCATTAATGTAATCACTGACGGAGTCAAAGAACAACTGACTCATCGCTGAATATCATATGCTTGTGAATGAATGTCACAGTATTTTAGCAAACTTTGAAGGTTGTTTTCATATGTATAATAAAAACAACAGGGCTCAATAATAGATCCTTTTGGAAGGTCTTTAATTACGTGTGAATATTTCGAAATAATGTCACCTAGTGTTAAGCTGTGAAGTTGTTTTACCGATACGCTCTTGATGTTCATCAAAAATTTCTCTCGTGTTTACATATTTTGTTACAAAATTTGTGCTAAAAGCTATTTAAGTGCGACCCAAGTGATCGTGGTTTAAATTTTATCTTATTTGTTCATTATTGCTTTTATTTGTGCATTAAATTTTAATATCTTGTTTTGCCGAGTCATTTCATCTATTTTTGTTGTTGTGTATGAGCACTTCCATTGGATTTTTATGTTGCTTTTTTATATTCTTTGCAAACACAGTTGTTGAGTGTTGTTTTCTTAAGTTTCAAAATCAGTGCTGTTTGCTACATAGCGCATAAACTTTCATTTTGCCTGTAAAATTGCCTTGCTTATAATTTTTATTATTTTTTTTTTAATTATTTATTTAATTATTATTAAATTTTTAGTACTTGAATCTTTAATATATTATTATTATTTTTTATTAATTTTTTATATTATTGTTTTTAACTATACCTTATTCAATCCCTAAGGTGAGTCTGAGCGCTTTGCCGCTTGTTGGCTTTGTGATGGGTTGGCTCATCAAAAATGTGCTGGGTTGACTGAATTGTTGACACTATTAGCGATGGTAAAGATATACGGTGGTCGTGTCTATCATGTAGATCGACTGAAGTACATTTATTAAAACTGTTTCGCCATTCACGAAATGGGTCTAGTGAAATAGGACGTGAACTAGCCACCACTCTTTTAAGTATTTGGACGAATGTCAAGAATGCTAATCGTACTTCTAAACGTAAATAAGTTATGTGTCCGTCCGACGATGTTATTGTTCCTCCAAAAACTGTGTTTTTACTTCTAGGTTTGCTGAAGCTACCACCAGCGAAGAGGTAAAGTCTTACATCACTTTAAAAATTAAATATGATGACGAAACAGAGAGAAAGTTTAATTTCAAATGTGAAGGTAAAATTTTTTTGTTAAATAACTATACTACATTTGAATGCTTTAATCATCTGCTTGATAGTACTTCTGGGCTCCCGGACCATTTGTGCGCGAATAAAGGTATTAAGCTCATTGAAGAATTTATTGCTAAACTTCCTCACAAAAACAGGGAGTCAAAAAACTAAAAAAAGATCTCTCTATAAGTTTATACTATCAGAAAGTTAAATGTATTAATAGCATGCTAAATGAATCGTTTCTAAATAGTCTACATTGTAATTTAAACATTATATCATTTACCGAGACATGGCTCAAACCCCACGTTTTTGATAATGAAGTTTTAAATAGTATCAAATTTATAGAAGTGTTCGATTAAACAGAATCAGAGGTGGGGTTCTTCCCCCAACTTATTCATGGAAACCCGTTAACGATAATTTACTCCAACTTAATCGTTCCTGTCTAAATGAGTATTTGGAACAAAATTGTCCAACTTGTGTCTCAATCAAAATGATTTAGTTGCTAACCATTTTGGTAAAATTTTATATTTGGTGTTTATGGATAATGCTTCTAAATTTGTTGTTATTAGAAGTGATCCGTTTGTTATGCCAGAGGATGTGTATCACCCTTCTTTAAAAATAATATTTAAAATCGGAAGAAAACTTGTGGCTAACAATTTTACTCTTAGCTTAAGTTTTCGATGCAAAATTTAATCAGGAGCTCTTTAAATTTACTTGGCCAAGTTATACTGATAGTATTGAAGCAAGCGTCTTACATTTTAATAATACCATTATTTCACTTTTTGAAAAATATGTGCCTAAACAGCCTTGGCTTAAAATAAAATACATGAACTCGTGCTTTACAAAGAAGTTATGTTGTTTAAAGAATAGAAATTCAAAAGCTTTTAAGACAGCACATTTAACATGGTACGAATGCTAAGCAGATAGCACAGGTTTAAACCCATGTTGTCATATGTGTCACATTGATAAATTTAGAGACATCCTTGAACCGTCTGATATTGATGTGGTATGTGTTTCTAAGGCTTGGTTCTCTATGTAGCATAGTGACAAATTATTTTGCGTTGCCGGATATACATTGGAATGTACATCAGAACCTCATAAGGACTCCAAAACCTCAGACGTTTGTAGGCCTTACAACAAAAACATATACATACATATACACATACAGAAGATACATCGAATTTAAATATTTATTGAAATTGAATTTTACATACATAGTGGCTCAATAATGAACTCGGACACACAAGTTATATGACTTTAAACAAAAAAATATGTAGTAAAATGCAAATCGAGAACTTTCTGTTTAACATATATTTCTATTCTTCACGTGTATTTTTCAAAACAACCAAAACCACAAACTAAATTCAACTCGGTCGTATAAAAATAATATGAGCATAAGAACTTAACAAAACTGATGACAAAAAAGAACTCGGACATATACAAAGATAGAATTTAAAAATTTATTATTATTTAAAGAGAAACAAAATATTCTTAATATTTGGTCGGCAATCCTTTCCTTTTTCTGATAGCGTTCAGTCTTCTTGGCAGAGATTCAACCAGCTCCTTGTATGTTAAAGAATTTACTTTCCCCACTCTTCCAAAATAGCGGCTTCTCTTTCTTATTTCTAATAACATGCATTTTCAGTTTATTTTCCAAATGAGCCCACAGATGATCAATTACGTAAATGTCGGAAGATTAAGGAGGTGTTTCAAGCACTTTAGGATAGTTATACATCAGCCATAGACGGACATCAAGTGCTTTATGCTTGGGATCGTTGTCTTGGTAGTGCTGGAAATTGTCTTTAATTCCCAACTTTTCCGCAATTCGCACTAAATTTTTTTTTAAAATGGTCCGATATTGCTTGTGGTCCATATAACGACTTATGAAACACAAATTTCCAGCACCAGCTGCGGACATACAACCCCATTCCATTGCTGAGTCGCCCCGTGTTTAACAGTCGGACGTAAATTCTTTTCTAGCAACTCTCATTCGGTTTTCTCTAAACATAAGACTGTCCATCTGACCCAAATATATTGTATTTGCTTTCATCTGCAAATAAAACTTGTTTCTAGAATTGAAATCGCTATCCCCATGACATTTTGCAAATCTTATCCTTTTGTTTCGGTTAAACTTGTTTGTAAATGGTTTCTTCCGTGCTACTCTTCCATTACAATTATTTTTTCGTTAAACTATTCGGACACACTCCGAATTACAATTTCTATTGAGATGTTGCAAAACTTCTGTTGAGAACATGAGCTTGCGCTCATGTTTGGATTTTTTTTATTTGCTGCACTGTCCACCGCTCATCTGCAGCCGAAAAAACTTCGATCGTCCAGACTTCTTTTTGTTTTCCACGGATTTTGTTTGTTTGAATCGTTTAATCAAGTCATACACAGTCGAGCGGGGTCTGCTCACAATTTCTGCGATTTTACGAATGGTTTTTCCTATTTCAAAATGACTAATAATAAACTTCCTTACTTCAGTTGAGCTTTGTCCACGCTGTCTACCCATGTTTGAACTTTTCACGTTTTTTTCCAAAATAAAAATAATGAAATTTTATTTTAAGCTACTACGTTTGATTATATACATATGTATTTTCAAACGAAAACAAACTAATTGGGAGATTACCCTTTTTAAAAT